TTCGCGCGGGCGGGGGAAGGGAAAAACTGAATTCAGATGAGGATTAAAAGTCGAGAACGGTACAACGAATCGTCTTCTTTCTCTAATGATTTTATGAAACGTAAAAGCTTCCGCGCCTCGTGCGGGAGGGGGGTAAGGGAAAAACTGAATTCAAATGAGGATTAAAAGTCGAGAACGGTACAACGAATCGTCTTCTTTCTCTAATGATTTAATGAAACGTAAAAGCTTCCGCGCTTCGCGCGGGCGGGGGAAGGGAAAAACTGAATTCAGATGAGGATTAAAAGTTGAGAACGGTACAACGAATCGTCTTCTTTCTCTAATGATTTAATGAAACGTAAAAGCTTCCGCGCCTCGCGCGGGAGGGGGGGAAGGGAAAAACTGAATTCAGATGAGGATTAAAAATCGAGAACGGTACAACGAATCATCTTCTTTCTCTAATGATTTAATGAAACGTAAAAGCTTCCGCGCTTCGCGTGGGAGGGGAGGGGGGGGGGGACTGAATTCAGACGAGGATTAAGAGTCGAGAACGGTATTCTTTCTCTAATGATTTAATGAAACGTAAAAGCTTCCGCGCTTCGCGCGGGAGGGGGGGGGGAAGGAAAAACTAAATTCAGATGAGGATTAAGAGTCGAGAACGGTACAAGGAATCGTCTTCTTTCTCTAATGATTTTATGAAACGTAAAAGCTTCCGCGCCTCGCGCGGGAGGGGGGGGGGAAGGGAAAAACTGAATTCAGATGAGGATTAAAAGTCGAGAACGGTACAACGAATCGTCTTCTTTCTCTAATGATTTAATGAAACGTAAAAGCTTCCGCGCTTCGCGCGGGCGGGGGAAGGGAAAAACTGAATTCAGATGAGGATTAAAGGTTGAGAACGGTACAACGAATCGTCTTCTTTCTCTAATGATTTAATGAAACGTAAAAGCTTCCGCGCCTCGCGCGGGAGGGGGGGGGGAAGGGAAAAACTGAATTCAGATGAGGATTAAAAATCGAGAACGGTACAACGAATCATCTTCTTTCTCTAATGATTTAATGAAACGTAAAAGCTTCCGCGCTTCGCGTGGGAGGGGAGTGGGGGGGGGACTGAATTCAGACGAGGATTAAGAGTCGAGAACGGTATTCTTTCTCTAATGATTTAATGAAACGTAAAAGCTTCCGCGCTTCGCGCGGGAGGGGGGGAGGGAAAAACTAAATTCAGATGAGGATTAAGAGTCGAGAACGGTACAACGAATCGTCTTCTTTCTCTAATGATTTAATGAAAAGTAAAAAAGCTTCCGCGCTTCGCGCGGGAGGGGGGGGGAGGGAAAAACTAAATTCAAATGAGGATTAAGAGTCGAGAACGGTACAACGAATCGTCTTCTTTCTCTAATGATTTAATGAAAAGTAAAAGCTTCCGCGCTTTGCGCGGGAGGGGAGGGGGGGACTGAATTCAGACGAGGATTAAGAGTCGAAAACGATACAACGAATCGTCTTCTTTCTCTAATGATTTAATGAAAAGTAAAAAAGCTTCCGCGCTTCGCGCGGGAGGGGGGGGGAGGGAAAAACTAAATTCAAATGAGGATTAAGAGTCGAGAACGGTACAACGAATCGTCTTCTTTCTCTAATGATTTAATGAAAAGTAAAAGCTTCCGCGCTTTGCGCGGGAGGGGAGGGGGGGACTGAATTCAGACGAGGATTAAGAGTCGAAAACGATACAACGAATCGTATTCTTTCTCTGATGATTTAATGAAACGTAAAAGCTCCCGCGCTTCGCGCGGGAGACGGGGGGGGGGGAGGGACTGAATTCAGACGAGGATTAAGAGTCGAGAACGGTACAAAGAATCGTCTTCTTTCTCTAATGATTTAATGAAAAGTAAAAGCTTCCGCGCTTTGCGCGGGAGGGGAGGGGGGACTGAATTCAGACGAGGATTAAGAGTCGAAAACGATACAACGAATCGTATTCTTTCTCTATGATTTAATGAAACGTAAAAGCTTCCGCGCTTCGCGCGGGGGGGGGGGGAACTGAATTCAGACGAGGATTATTTTCGAGAACGGTACAACGAATCGTCTTCTTTCTCTAATAATTTTAGGAAACTTCAAAGCTTCGGCGCTTTGCGGAGGAGGGAGGGGAAATCGCCCCCCTGCCGCCCCCCCGCCCCCCCCCCCCCCCCCCCCCCCCCCCCCCCCCCCCCCCCCCCCCCCCCCCCCCCCCCCCCCATTACGCCAATCCTGGATCCGCGCCTAAATTTATGTACATGTGTTTGGGTATGTGTGTGTTTGTTGTTTGTTCGTTTGTGTGTGTGCGTGTGTATGTGTGTGTGCGTGTGTGTGTGTGCGTGTGTTTGTGCGTGCGTGTGTGCGTGCGTGTGTGTGGTGTGTTTGTGCGTGCGCGATCGCGTGCGCTTGCGTAAATTAGTGTGGGCGTGTGCTCGTGCTAGTATGTGATGGATATCGCCGATCATCCCCCCCCCCCACTCCTCGGTACGGATTTACGCCCCTGATCATGAACATAGTCAACCCGCAAGGAAAAGAACATCAAAACGATTAGAACACATCGGATGACAAAGCGTGTGCACACACATTGAAAGTAGAATGAACCCTCGGTGTCATAGCCCACAAACATTTAAGCTAAAACATTTGAACTTGAATTTGTATTTCAGTCTATTTAGAGAGAGAGAGAGAGGGAGAGAGGGAGAGAGAGAGAGAGAGAGAGAGAGAGAGGGGACGAGGCGTTGGAGGGAGGTCTAGGGTGACTTGCTTTCAGCATTTCAGACCATAAACTAAAGGGCTATTACCATTTTAATTCAACTACTATTCCATATAAATCAGAATTGTACTAAAAATGTTCCATGCTGAAAATTGACTCTTTTGTACAAAAGACACGCTACTACATCATGTACATTATTGGAATAAATCCCCTTATCTTTATGTCTCTCTCTCCCTCTCTCTCTCCCTCTCTGTTTCTATCTCTCTCTCTCTCTCTCTGTTTCTATATCTCTCTCTCTCTCTCTGTTTCTATCTATCTCTCTCTTTCTCTCTGTTTCTATCTATATATCTCTCTCTCTCTGTTTCTATCTATCTCTCTCTTTCTCTCCCTCTCTCTCTATCTATCTCACCACTCTCTCTCTCTCTCTCTCTCTCTCTCTCCCTCTTTCTGATTCTTCCAAGTAAGGTGTACATGTATTTCGTTTTTAGAGTAAAACTTTTCCAAGTTCGGTGATCTTCCTTAAATCTCCGTCCCATTTATGTTTGGGCGAGTTATTGCACACACCCTCACATGGCGATCAAAACATCTTTCTCTCTGTTCGCTGAGTTTACCCTCATCAGATGTACGCTCCGATCGAAAATATAAATCAATGTATGACATAGCATACATCCTGACATAATAATTAGCAAGACTCGGGGTATACGTCTAGCACAGATAAAAAGGCACATAAACTGGGTAAGGGGGTGGGTACCGGGTTCATTCAGGGACAATTTTTTGTTTTTGTTCATCACAAAAAGATGAAAATGCAAATTAATTAGGGAAAAATTAGGGTAAAACACGTACGGGAAGGGATGTCACTTTCTTTTCACATTCCGTTTCCCCTTTACCCCCCCCCTTTTTTTTGGGGGGGGGGGGGGCGGGGGCGGGGTAATCGCATGTAACCTATTTTACATCCCACATAGAGAACACGTACAAGGCATAATGCTTAAAGATATGGTTACAGAAATGTTTCTTTGAAATACTTATAAGCATAACGTTTATTTACACGGACTTAGAATTTATAGAGAAGCAGGCAAATTTCTGAAATTCCATTTTCCCAATCTCTTTATTTCGTATAATTACATTTTCACCGACCAAACATTATCATATAGTTGTTGACAAGAAAATAGTAGAAATATAGCATACAGAGTCCTTTATTAATTTTGTTAATTCAATTCGGAATACCTCACTAAAAGGGATAGTTGAGTTCTGTTGCAGAGGGCGCTACACAAAATATTTTTTTTGAGAGATAATGAAAAACTGAGTGTCAAATTTGAAAGAACATAATATTTAAATGACAAAATCATCTTTGTTTGATCAAAATCGGTTCAGAGACAGCTGAAATATAACGATTTCTAATACTTGTGTACCACCACAAATATTAGATATTTTGACAAATTTGGAAAAAACCGTTGAAAACCGTTGAAAAAAAACGAAATAATGCCTTTTACGTCGTATTTCAGCCAATGCCGATGTTGGCTTTTTTGTTGGCATTTTCGTGTTGCTTATATTACCCACAATCAGCCGGCTCATGTATTGTTATCTTTAGTTAAATAATTAAGTAGCGGTCACCATGTTCTTTTTTTAAGTGGAGCTGAATTGAGTACCGAAGCTGTGACGTCATAAAAATCTATTTTTAGAATTTCTCAATTTTTTCTTCATTTTCCGAAAGAACATCAAAAATAATGTCCAAATGTCGAAAACCAATTGAATATGTTAAATATTGTCTGAGATATGACCATCTGAATAAAGATACTCCCCATAGGAACTCAGTGTTATATTCTCTGGCTCCTAATGGTCCTAAATGTTGCCCTATAAAGTATATAAATCAAGTCTTATAACAATACATTCATGTTACGATATGATGATATATTCATCACAATGAATAGACAGCTCTCTTCCATATACCCAGAACATCCTAATAGACAGATGACAATGATTTTCAATCGTTATATCACTATGAATATGACGGACAAAGAAAGAGGACAAAATATACAGTTCCTCATTCTACCCTCAACAATTAGAGTGGTAGACAAAGGAACATCCCTTCACTGCTATTAATATGTAAACGTGTGTAGAACAGGTGTCACATGCATATTCACCTGTTGTACACAGTGGAGGGATGTTCCTTTGTCTACCACAGCAATTGTTGAGGGTAGAATGAGGAACTGTATATTGTGTCCTTTTTCTTTGTCCGTCATATTCATAGTGTATGCACCCCGCCTATTAAATCAACTGCCCCGAAACATCATCCGTACAGACCCACATTATAGACACCTTTAAGAAGCACTTGAAGACGTATTTATTTAACTGATTTTCCACCTTTGTACAATGTAAAGCGCTGTGATACTTATTGTGTGAGAGTGCCATATAAATGAATATATCTTTAATACAATTATTTTAAAATCAGGTTAGTCAAAGTTACGCAATTTTACAAACTATCACCAAAATTAACAGTATGAACTGGAAAATAATTCTAAAGCAAAGATTACAAAATAAAGCCATTTCACGGATACGACAAAACATATAATAAAAACATATTTTGAGCATATATTGGTAATTAATGCATCACTCAAACGATAATGAAAAATGAGAGACGCTGAAGGAAAATGACGTCAACAAAATGGCGTCATATTCATGTCTGCAGTCACGTGATAAACGGTTTCCTCCAATCAGAAGCGTGCTAATAGCCGATACAAAGCTCAGTATAATCCCTCCCTGGGATATGGCCTATAGAATGAGAGAAAAAATGTAAAAATGTATTTTACTGCTTCATACTTCAAGGCATAATCATCAAACATAAAGAAAGCCATCATCCATGTATTGATTATTAGTTATTAACTTTGGATATTAATAAGGGTAGCTTTTATTCAGTATTAGAAAAGATACGTTGTTTCGAAATGAACAATTATTATTTGTTACCTGAACATGTACCATGAAACCCAACTTTAGGTATGCACTGTGTTTCTTAAGCATAAATAGTTGATTTGTTCCCCCTTCCACTATTTTCTCTCACTCATTCTCTGCCTATCTCTCTCTCTCTCTCTCTCACACTCATTCTCTCCCTATCTCTCTCTCTCTCTCTCTCTCTCTCTCTTTCTCTCTCTCTCTCTCTCCCCAACCCTTTCCATTTTCTCTTTCTTTTTCTCTTCCCCTCTTTTGTCTCTTTCTTCCGAATGGCCTGAAATTTTTATTGCATCTCTTAGTTCTATTTTCTTTTCTTTTTTTAATCTTAAAAAAACTTAGTTCTATCTTACCATGCCTCTCAGAGACCGTTTTACAGATTTCATCATAGCGCCCTCTCTGGACAAGGAGATCAAACGCGTCGTTCCACCAGATGACGAAATCGGGGTTATTGTGACGTGTCATGATGGAATTCCCTCCCTTCAGACACTTATTATCGAAGTCTGGTGGCGTGATTTTCATCAAGGTGGTGTCTTCTTCATATTGACCTAGGGCTGAGACAAAGATGACATCAACCTACAGAAATAATGAAAAAAGAAGGTAAGTATAGGCCCATTTTCTTAGACCTATATAATCATAGATTTTGAAAGTTTGGCGGTGCAATTCATATCAAAGCGCTTGTTTACTGCGTGAAGACTGAACCAAAGATGACATAGCCTAAGGAAATATAGAAAAAAGTAGGCCCTGTTTTATTTTATCATCATTAATAATACTACCGATATTAACGAATCTAATAATATCAATAGTAATAACAATGATAATAATAATGATTATTATTATACTAATATAATAATAATGCCGATAATAATACTCCCGACGACGGACAGTCAACCTGTTCGAAACGTCGAGCCACTCATCCTCTCCAAGCGCTATAGTTCTCCTTAGAACTATAAGCTAAGAAAGATAACAAACAGTCCTTTTCAGGACTACACACCCCCAAGAAAGATTACCGAGTTAGAGTCCTTTTCAGGCCTCAACCCTCTCTCTCTCTCTCTCTCTCTTTCTCACATGGTGCACCCGCAAGCCTACTGTATCATAATAATAATAATAATAAAAACAGTTATTATAGTTACCAAAAATAATGATGATGATAATTATATCACCAACAATGATAATAACTTTGTTTAACTACGGAATCCTAATCCAAACAAAGTATCAAACATCGTGTCATCTATAAGACTGCGAGCCCATGAGATCAGCTAGGCCCCATTTCAGGGCTCCATTTTACAAAACAAATCTACTGAAATCATTGCTTCTGATCGGCAGATTTGTCTCTAATTTTGTCATTTGCAGGATTTGATGCACGCTGATGATGGTCTAGTACGGGGAATCTCGCTCAACAAGCCTAGATTTTCTGAGATTCCCTTTTCCCCCTCTTAGTTAAATCAAGCAATTTAAAATACTTTGTCTTATTCTCAAACTTTAATGTACTCTGTTAACTTGATATATTACGAACGTATTTCGTTACTTGTATAATTTATTTGCTCTATTATTATATTGTTATACTGTATAGTTTATACATTTAATTTAAATTTATAAATATTTGATTGGAAAAATAAATCAAATCAAATCAAATCAAAGGCCTTGGGAAACGGGTACCTGGCCGAATGGCAGATCCTTTGAAAAAAGAACTACAGGGGGGTGTTTCATAAATCTTGTTTTCAATAACAAATGCAAAATTTCTATGACAAATTTGCTCTCAGCCAATTAGATACCATGATTTCAGTAGCTTATAACAGTAGCTTGTAACTTGTTATTGATAACAAGTTTTATGAAACGGGGTTCTGATCAGAAGGCCGTCGACATGTCGGTCTCATGGTACCTCTAACCAGGCGCGGATCCAGGATTTCTTAGGGGAGGGGGCCCAACTTTTTTTTTTTGCTCCCGAAAATTTGAAAATCGCGCCGGCCGAAAAGTCGTTCAGTAGGGGGGGTGGGGGTAGTGAGCACATTTTTTTTTTTTGATCCTCAAAAAAATTTCAATTTGCACCCCCCCCCCCTTGAGCGCCAGGGGGGGGGGGGGGAGGGGGGCCAACCCCCCAAAAAGGTAAAAATCACGTAATTTTACATGATTTTTTCCCCCTGGATCCGCCACTGCCTCTAACACCTTTTCAAAATGCCCGATAGAGCGGCGCTAGACTGGGAGGAGTCGGTCACGCGAGCTGTCGGTCAATTGATGGGCCATCACTTTTTGTAATTGTTTGCCATTGAAAGTCTAAGTAAAGTGTCGTTTTTCGCCTGTTTATATTATCGTATTTTGCTGTCACTGTATTATCATAACTTAAAGGCTGTCAATACTGCTGGGCCAGAAGGGATTAGACCACCCAGCCAGGTCACTGACAGGTGGTTATCTCATCAACTCAGCTCTCAACTTTCATAAGAAAAAGAGGATCATGGGGGAACAACAGGCACCAATTGGCAAAAGTTTTCTATATTAGTGGGAGCAAGTAGCTACAAGTAGGACAGTGGGGCTTTAAAGAGCTACATGTACTTCGAGCTTACTTTGCATTTCTTCTAGATTAGCCATGTCAAATCATTCGTTCCCAACATTTTGTTTCATAAATTGTCTTATTCATCGTGATTTGAAAACATATTACCACTATGTATTAAAATGCTCATATTGTTACTGATTATTATTGTATGAAGACATCATAAAACAATACATGAAATTAAATCAAATATTCAAGTCAGCTGTTATTACTTACTAACCTCTCCATTGTTGAGTGCTTCAACTAGTCTGTCTGCTGAGGCGAAATGTATGATCTGGCCTTGAGCAAGACGCGAACCCTGCAAAGAAACAAAGAGCCATCAAATTTCGGATGATTTTGTATTGATTCATATCGGGAAATAGGTAACTTAGCCTCCACTATACAGCAACAAAAAAACACAAAACAAAAGAAATTAAAACACATTTATCAAACAATCAAATCAAATCAAATCCAACTATACCTCAATATCAGTGTATCGGGCTAGACAGAACTCGTCGTAGGCCCAGCCGTCAGCGAACCCGACCTTCCGGTTTGTCAAATCATCGTACGGGAGTGTGCTGCCGTTCTTTGCATATATTGCAACTTTGGAAGCTTCCATGTAAGGTTTGGTGAAGGAGTATGTTAGTAGACGGTCAAATGTTTGGATCCAACCTGAAAGGTAATACAAAATGTTGGTATGGGATCGTAAATTTGGTTGAAATGAACATATTAGAAGCATGTGCGATTTCACAATATTCAATGATCGTTGTAGCGGTTGAAATCGAGTCTAAAGTGATGAAATTGTAAATAATAAACTCTTAATGTTGTATCGCTCCCTCTCAAGATTGAACGTAAGCTTTAAAACAATATTTCTTGACTATACTTTCGACTGTACATTAACAATTAAATACTTCTACTCTTAGTACTAGTTTTACTGCTACTACTTCTAGTAGTAGAAGTAGTAGTCGAATTATTAACAGTAGTAGCAGTCGTAGTACAGTAGTAGTAGTACAGTAGTAGTAGTACTAGGAGTAGAAGTATTTAATTGTTAATGTACACAATATCTACGGTCCTCCACTTTGCAGCCTGCGCCCAAGTCTCTTCTCTACTCGGTGCACTATTTACAGGCCTGCACATGCCAATCTAATAACAGTGGCACTCACATCCTGGCGGGAACCCATTCACAACCTGGGTGGAGAGAAGTAATTTTTAGAGAAAATGCCCTTTGCAGTACTCACCCGAGCAACCGTCATACCAGCCTCCCATTAGCCCCTGGCCGCCCCTGGGCCGCTGGCCTGCGTTGCTGTCCCAACAGTTGCCATAGACGTCGTATACCAATTTGCAGTTCTTGTTAGCGATGGCGCAAACTTGTGATATTGAAAGAGAAGTAAATAAACTGATACAGGTTATGAAACGTTGATGCACTTGCCTGTGTAAATAGTCAGAACCGTTTACAGAGAAAAGGATATAAATCAATATGTTGTGAACCTGTTCAGAAAGTTTATGTGGTGTAGATGGATGCACTGCTTCGAACGGAGACTTTATTAATGAACTTTACACTTATTTTGTTTAGCCTATTACGATAGGCGATGTTCGCTTACTTGAAAATATACATATGGCAATGAGGCAATGAAGCAAAACCGTTACAAAAAATCGATGATTAATCGTTAATATTCGACTTATCCGAAATCTTAAAATTCTATATTTTGTTTAACTACATTGTGTATAAGCTTTTTTTTTTGCTTACAATTTATCACCTGACGAAGTGTTGCAGCGGCACACGAAACGTGGTGATCTATTGATCCCTTGTTGACCATACATTGCGAGACAAAATAATATCATTAGTGATTTTATTTTCGATAAAAACCAAGTGCTTCTTATTCTTACCCGCATCCAATATGTCCGGGTTAAATCCCCGGATGGTGTAAGTCTCTTCATCCCTGTGTCAAAAATCAAAGGTCAAGGTCAAGAAAGGTCAAGGTCAAGAAAGGTCAATGAGAAAGCGAAGATTAAATGTTCATATAACTCTTGAGAGCGGCATGTCCAGATGAGAATGCAACATGAAACTTTTTAAAGCGATACTAAACTGAAAACTCTCTGCCCTAGCGTACTGCTTTTTAATCAACGCCTTGATAGCTACTCAATGTCAACGTGCCAACAGTGCCTAACCCAATTCCTAATTCCCACTATATAGTTCAATACTTTCAAAGATGTGATCGAAGCGTGCGGAATTTCGACTCTCTTTTGAGAATCTGCATTATTTTGTTAAATATGCTGAATTGGTAGACAGACGATATAAGCGACGCAAGACTTAGGCGTAAACAAGATGTTGTATTGCCCTTTGCGATCGACACTAAAATCTACGGTCGGCGCGGGAGGGGGGAAACTCCCCCTCCCTGCTCCCACCCCCTTAGGGAGCGTGCTACGCGCGCTTTTTAAGTGATTCGCACGCTTCGCGTGCTCCCTACCGCGCACCCCCCTAAAATGAAATCCTGGCTACTCGCTTGTCCAAGCTTCTTATTTGTTTCCGTTTAAGCCCATCATTAAACACTGGGGCACAGCATTCAATGACAGGACGAATATAGCCATGCAAATAGTGTAGATGAAGAAGTTAATTTGTATAATACCTTACTCACATCTGCACTTGATACGTTGGCACCTGAGAAGCAGCTCCGTGTTACAATTCACCCGAATACTGAATGGTATAACCAAGAAATAGCTCAAGCAAAACTGCTTCGTAGACAATTAGAAAGAAGATCAAGGTCCACCAAACTGGAGATTCACAAGCAGATGTATCGTACCCAAAAACAACATGTAAAAGCCTTGATTAAGATTGCTCAGTCACTCTATCACTCAAAAAAAGTTGAGGATTGTGGGAAAGACACAAAGAAACTGTATAAAGTTGCTAATAATTTACTACATAGAAAACAACCATCTCCTTTACCAGAACATCTCACTCATGGTGATCGGTTGAAGCTTGCCAATTGTTTTAATCAATATTTTGTAGATAAAATTCTAACAATCCGACAATGCTTCCAAACGCATGTTGTACAGCTAGATGACACTGTTTGTGAAGTCGAATCAGAGTTGAGTGAGTTTCGGTCGGTCACTATCAGTGAGATAGAAACATTTATCAAGAACTCACCAAATAAATCATGTGAGCTTGATCCAATCCCAACAGATTTGGTTAAGAAGTGCAGCACAGTCTTGGCACCTGTCATCACAAGCATTATTAATGCTAGCCTTAGTTCAAGTATTGTCCCACAGGTTTGTAAGACAGCTGTCATCCATCCAACCTTGAAAAAATCGGGCTTAGATCAGGAGTGTCTCAAGAATTACCGCCCAATCTCAAACTTATCTTTTTTGAGTAAAATGCTGGAACGGGTTGTTTTCTCACAACTGACTGCATATTTGCGAGATAATGAATTGTTTGACCCATGTCAATCTGCCTACAGGCCTGGTCATAGTGTGGAAACATTACTTGTCAACTTAACTGATACTATTTTTAGAGAACTGGATTGCGGTAATATTACTGCTCTTGTTATGTTAGATATGAGCTCAGCTTTCGATACAGTAGATTACTCTATCCTGACTCGAAGGCTGAAATCATTAGGTATCAAGGGTACCGCCCTTAATTGGTTTATATCATATCTCTCTGAACGATCTCAGTATGTAAAAATTGATAATTCTACCTCTAGTAAAACTACTATGAAGTATGGTGTACCCCAAGGTTCGGTAGGAGGACCACTGCTCTTTTCTCTCTATATGCAACCAATCAGCAAGATATTTCACAAACATTGTATTAGTTACCATTGCTACGCAGATGACATCCAAATTTATCTTTCTTTTAAACCTACAATGTCTTCACTGTCCTCAGCCGTTTCAAAACTTGAAAAATGTCTAGAAGAACTGAAATCCTGGTTAATATCTAATGGCCTTAAGCTGAATGATGATAAATCTGTGTTTTTATTATTAGGTTCCAAGCACATGTTAGGGAAGGTTGACTATCAATCGTGTCATCTCCATATTGGAAAAACGTGTATCACTCCATCAAAAACAGCTCGTAATTTGGGTGTAATATTTGATCAGGAAATGTCCTTTCGTAGTCACATAACACATATTCAACAGAGTGTAAGGTACCAATTACGTAATCTAAGTTTCATAAGAAAGTGTTTATCTAAACCTGCGGCTGAGATCTTAATTCATGCTTTAATTTCTTCTCGTTTAGATTTTGCAAATTCATTGTTCTGTAACCTTCCAAAAAAAGATGTCACAAAACTGCAACGACTTCAAAATTCTGCAGCCCGCCTATTAACATTCACTAAGAAATCTGATTCCATATCACCAATTCTCCGTTCTCTCCATTGGTTGCCAGTTGAAAAAAGGATTATTTTAAAATTATGTTACTTGTACATCATTCAGTTTACTCTCTTTCTTCCCCTGCATACCTGAGCAACTCTGTTTCAAAATACAACCCCACACGAAGTCTTCGCTCCTCATCAGACACACTATTACTTAATACACCCAGAATAAAACATGCTTGGGGGGAACGGGCTTTCTCAGCCATGGGTCCAAAACTGTGGAATAAGCTCCCTCTAAAATTACGTCAACTGTCATCGACAGAAACATTCAAATTACAACTAAAAACCTATTTGTTTCTTTCGTTGTAATTATTGCAATATTTTAATTTACTATGTCTAGGAGAATTCCGAATTTGTTTTTCAGTTTATTGTTTTCTCTTTCTTATGCCTGTTACATGTACTCTTTTCTAAGCGCCATGAGCACCGAAAGGTGGACCTGTGCGCTATACAAGTAGCCACTATTATTATTAGTATATACCAGTTTCAAATCAGCTTAAGACAGTCCATATCGTTCAGAAGCCTAAACATATACAACTTTCTATTCCATTTTTGGAGGATTTCAGTGACATGTAGATCCCATTTCAGATTGGATTGCACGATGACACCAAGAATTTTAGCAGAGTGGAAGTTTTGCAGGGGTGAGTCATAAATATAACAAGTCAGTTCGGCAGGAGGATTTTTGGAGAATCAGAAGCAAGGATTTCACTAGCTTATAACAAAAACTGTCATTCATCACTGATGACAAGTTTTTTTAAATGGAGGCGCCTTGGCACGTAGATCGCTATTAAACACGTACAAGCCCGACGAAGATAATTACTATATTCAGGGGCGCATTACTACAAGGAACTTGGGGAAGAAGTGGGCTGTTGCGTGGGATGCGCCTGAGTACACAAAGGGGCGTATACAGCGGAAGCTATACAATAATAACGTCAAATACATAAGCCAGTTCACGGTTGCAGTCTGAACATGAACAGACACTATGAATATGACGGACAAAGAAAGAGGACAAAATATACAGTTTCGCAGTCCTCAGATAGGGGGTGCTTTCAAAAAGAGGGAACAAGCATACGCGTACCCTAAATAACACTGAGTGGGGGGGGCATGATATACAGGTGGAAGTATTTTTTTAAAAGGGGTAACAAAGGCTGTTTATATAGCACCTCCATGGCTCCATCGGTACAGGAGTGAATATTTCAAAATGTACAAAGTCGGACCTCTTCATGTTTTTAAGATATGTGGATATTCAGGGTTATTGCACTAAATTAAATGTGCTAACCATGAACTGGTATGTTGTAATAATAATCCGTATAATAGATTATGTCGTATATATCCAGGGTAGCCTCACCGGTATCAATAACATTCTTCCTGCAATCATAATCTCCCCGTCCCAGAAAAAAACGAAACCGAGAATCCGTTCCACTAGCTGTCTGCTAGCTGCCCTAACAACAAAGAACTTCAAGACGAAAGACTTCATGCACGGCTGATCCCGGGGCTGGTCGTCATGCACGAAACATAGTTTGTTCTTTGTTACTACGGCAGGCAGCCAGCGAAAACTAATTGGTTTAATAACATTATGGAAATGCAAGCATTTCTTCACACAAACAGAACTTTGTTATTCCTGGCTCATTTTTCCTGATTGAGGTGTCATAATTATGAAAGGACAGAAAATGAACCTTCTGGAAATGTGATTTTCTTTTTGAAATTTAGATACCGTTCGCCCAATGACTTTTGGTACCCTTTTTTCAAATTGTTTTTAATCACACATGCATAAGATAGGCATCATATATACATCATATAAAAGAGGAGGGTCTAAGCTTTACAAAATTGTGTCATTTATTAATTATAATTGTGATTAAGTTATGACAAAACATCGATAACGGGATGTTAATGCAATAAGGTACTAAGTGGGTGAGGGCATACCACTGTCTTTTGTTCATGTTTTTGTTTAATCTAGCTGACTGATGTTTTCATATAATAGCCTATTGAAACCCTTCTTTTCATGGTGCTGTTTGGGGATTTCTGAGATAGCAACTGCTTAAAATGTGAATTTTGGGCGTAGTAATTTTGCGAATTGGACCATAATGTCCTATTCATTTTAAAGATTAACTTACAAGTATTCAACGTTGCTACCATAGCATATGGCCTTTTTATTATAAAGTTAACTCACAAGAATTCGACGCTGCTACCATAGTATGGCCTATGTATTTTAAAGGTTAACTGACAAGTATTCGACGTTGCAACCACAGTTTGACCTATTTATTATAAAGTTAACGGTAAAGACCAGTATTGGCAACGCCCCAATTTCAAAAAATGAAATGGAAGCTCTCATTACCAATCATGTGAAAGAATATGTTTTGACTAATACATGAGGATAAAAAATTTGCCGGGAAACCGCCTACTAATTCATATATTTGGTAAATTTATCTCTCTCATGGTCTGGTGAGAGAGATAGGGTAGTCCCATATACATCTTTCTGTGTATAGTGCTTGTAACTTTACGAAGAATGGGCCAAATTTCTTATCATTTTGATGATTCCAGAACCTTGCAGATGCTAGATGCTAGATGATCAACCTTTTCTGATCGATTCCACAACGTTTCTTTCACAATGCAATCGCATGACCATTACTGGTCTTTACCTTTAACTTACAAGTATTCAACGTTGCTACCATAGTACATGGCCTTTTTATTATGAAGTTAACTTACAAGTATTCAACGTTGCTACCATAGTATGGCCTATGTATTTTAAAGGTTAACTGACAAGTATTCGACGTTGCAACCACAGTTTGACCTATTTATTATAAAGTTAACTAAAAAGTATTCAACGTTGCTACCATAGTACATGGCCTTTTTATTATGAAGTTAACTTACAAGTATTCAACGTTGCTACCATAGTATGGCCTATGTATTTTAAAGGTTAACTGACAAGTATTCGACGTTGCAACCACAGTTTGACCTATTTATTATAAAGTTAACTAAAAAGTATTCAACGTTGCTACCATAGTACATGGCCTTTTTATTATGAAGTTAACTTACAAGTATTCAATGTTCCTACCGTATGGCATATTTATTATAAAGTTAACTTACAAGTATTCAACGTTGCTACCGTAGTGGCCGATAGCGATCATCCAGATCTTCTCGTCACTAGTAACTGTTTCAAAGAAAGAAAAAAGAAAAAAAGATAAATCAATTCAATTCAGTATTCAATTCAAGTTTATTTCCCCATTTGGTTAAAAACAACGAAATACAATCAACATATGTAGGTGTGTGTGGGTGTGTGGGTGTCTGTGTATGAGTTGGCAGGTAGTTCTAATAGAACAAAGATCTGTAATACTATGATTTTCATGGTGAAGTATGTTTTATTTATGTCAAGATTGGCGGGACAAGTACCAGCTTTAGAAAAGATGAAGAAAACTATATTTAATAAGAGGGATGAGGAAAAGAAAATAGCCATTAGAATAGGAAAGCTGGGATTACATTTTTTAAAGTGGGAGCAGCTTAGTATTAATTAAGATTTGTTTTCCTCTCCACCGTGAGCTTGTTAAAGTGTAACTCTATTTTGCAGCCATATCTTACTTATTTAGTATATTTTTCTTGAGTAGAGAATGTTAGCAGACATCCACTGAGGAGTGTGTGTGTGTGTGCGTGTGTGTGTGTGTGTGTGTGTGTATGAGGGAGGGGGATCTGGGAGTCCCAGTAAAATAATCTCCAGTTGTTTTAATAATATATTTGTTGTTATTATAAGTGAATAATATGTACAGTTGACTTATAACTTATGTTTATGTACTTTAAGTTTACTAACACTGAATATTTGCTCAGTTATATAATTATACTGCATATGAGTTGTTGTTTAATTATGTTTATGGATAAGCAATCAATATTGAAAACGTATATTTTTTAAATTAAATTGTATGTTTGTATTTGGAGGAATAAAACAAAATTACTTTTTTTTAAGTGTATGTGTCTGTGCGTTCATATAGGCCTGTATGTATATATAATATATATAAATATAGACCTATATACGTGTATAAAACAAAGATTTGAAAGAAACATTCCTCATAATGTGGTGGGAAACACAAAGACCAGCAGGCCTATCAAGGTGATTCCCAGACTAACACAAATAACATAAAATGTTCATTTATCGTGCTTATTATAAACGGGGGTGGAATCAAGGAAAGATACAAAATAGCTCTAAAAATATTATGTCATGAATACATAAACAGCAAATAAACGCACTTCACTACACTACAATGCAATTCCAGACGGATAAACCCAGACTGACCTAGATGCGGTTCGGTGTGTGACAAGAAGAGCCCCACAAATCGATTCACACAAATTGGATGGATATTGTGGAGAAAGCTTCAAAAGGAGGCTGAGTTTATGAAAAGCTTCCATCGACAAATATTTCTTATTTCTTACCCCTACTGTCTGGTGTAGAATCAGCTATTGGATGAAGTGCCATTTGGGCTACAACCCCAGGGGGGCGTTTAAAAAAACTTGTCATCAGTGACAAACGATAGTTTTTGTTTTAAACTACTGAAATCCTTGCTTCTGGTTGGTTATCAACAGATTTGTCACTGATTTTTGTCTTTTGTCATTAAAAAAAGGCTTTGTGAAACGGGTCCTAGGTCGCCTATTACCCCAATAATTCTATTCCTATATGGTCTACACCAGTCCTGTCTACTATTCACATGGTCCAATCATTTGGTCGAATGGCCATTTCAGCTAATATTTATCAGGGGTGATTCGCGGGGAAAAAATGGCATCTAACAACATTCCCCCCTTTCGAGTAAGAAAATTGGGGGGAAATAGGGCAAAATAGGGAAGATTAGAGAAAATAACGGGAAATCGGTAAAATCAGGATAAAAGAGGGAAGAAGAAAAAAAATCTGGTTAAAATTTTTTCTAAAAAATAAAAAAATAATCGGGAAACCGATTTAAATCGGGTTTTCAGGCCTGATTTATTTGGGACAATTTCCATTTGGTCTAATTATAATAAGTCTACTACCCATATGGTCTAAACATTTTTATTTATCTTTTGGCCCTAGAAAATTTAAAAATCGCAACCCCCCCCCCCCCCCTTGAGCACCAAGGGAGGAGGCCTGTTTCCAAATAAAGGTAAAAATCACGTGTTTTTACCTCTTTTTTTCCCCCAGGGGAGGGGGCCGGGCCGCGTATTTTTATTAACACGCTAGCGAGGGGAGTTTCTTGATTAATTCCAATGAAACCGCTCGCGAAGAGTCTAGGACTGGATCGAAGCTAGAGCTCGCGAGTGCTACACGCTTTAGTGTGAATTTACATCGAGGACAAAGTTTGCTTAATTTTGTCTTGAAACACTTGAATGGTTATGGAACCTGTTTGTGTTTCTAATCTTCAAATATAACAAACACATCAACATATTACCTGGACATCTCCCTGCGTGGGGGTAACGCATGTCACACACAGAAATATGAGAAGAAGAGAGAGAATAATGTAAAAGAGAAGAAGATAGAGGATAGAGGAAAAGGAGAGAGACAGAGAGAGAGAGAGAGAGAAATAGAGAGAAGAAAGGGGAAAAAAAAGGAAGAACATGAAACTTAAATTTACACTTAGGCTGAGTTGGCTCGACATGTGCCTAAAGCACAACAATACGAAAACAGAAGTGATATATAATTGTCTTAAGAGAGAAAGATAGGTTATTTCTAAAATGAAATGAAAGGGGCTATGTGACTTTCAAGGAGGAAATTACAATTTCTATCGCTCGTAACGACTATTTTGAATTTCCTATTTTTTTTTTGTATAATTCAAGAACTTCCTGGGGCTCCGCCCCAAGACTCCCGGCAAAGGCAAATTATTTACACAATTTCTTGCTGTCTGCTGCCTCGAGATCACTGGACTCTGACAGGAGCGAAAAAAGGTAACAATGTATAGCAAGAACCCCTATTCAGTGAAGGATTTATCCTTTTTATTATTAAAGACTCCCGGCAAAGGCTCTTCCCCCCCCCCCGCACCCCATCCGTAAAGATAGAAGTGGTTCCCATGACAACCAAATTGGAGAGAGTGTGAGCTTTTTGTAGTTTAAGCTTCTAACAACCACTCCCGTGGACCTTTTATTATTCATACGTCTTGCTGTCTGCTGCCTCGATATCACTGGAGCGAAGAAAGGTAACAATGTATAGCAAGAATCCCTATTCAGTGAAGGATTTATCCTTTTTATGCAGATGCATTCTTCTACCATTCTTGACCAGAAGTGCGTTTCAAACTCAATGATGTGGGCATCATCCCATTGAATGTTGTGTCCAGTATTAAGGGCATGTTCAGCTATTTGCTGCCTTATAGTGAGGGCTTAAAAAGAGCACACTATAGGGGCAGTGCAATTTAAAGGGATGGATTAGAGTTTATTTCTAAAATGAAATGAAGGGGCTATTTGACTTTCAAGAGTGCTAAAAACTCTAATCCATCCCTTGAAATTTAAAGTGCATTGCCCCCATTGTGTGCTATTCCCTCCCGTGGACCTTTTATTATTCATACGTCTTGCTGTCTGCTGCCTCGAGATCACTGGAGCGAAGAAAGGTAACAATGTATAGCAAGAATCCCTATTCAGTGAAGGATTTATCCTTTTTATGCAGATGCATTCTTCTATAAAGTTTTAAAATACAGTCTAGGCTCCCCGCGAGCGGTTTCATTGGAATTAATCGAGAAATACCCCTCGCTAGCGTGTTAATAAAAAATACGCAGCCGGGCCTCCCCCGCCCCCCCCCCCCCCCCCCCCCTCTCACCCCTTGACCTGCCAAGTGAAAATGTGATGTGCATAGAAAACGCCCTCATGTGTCCAGACCCGGACTAAACCGTTACTTGATTTACAAAGACGTTATCATGCACTGCTTTTTATGGTCTCCGTTGTGTTAGTAGATGCTAGTAAAAAATCACTTACGCCTTACGGGGGTTCAAAATAGCAACAACAACAACAAAATTGCCTCGTCGCTATGCGGCTCGTGAAAGATGCCCTGCGTCGTCATTGGGTCATCCCCCCTTAGCAAAAAGCTAGAACCGCCCTTGTGCCAACATCATTTCACGAAAAGAGATAGGGAAACAAATATCTAACTTTATGGGCAATAGTACGTGTGTCAATACATACCTGCACCGGACGATCCAGGCGTGTAGATGTTGATTGGCTGCGCCCCGCCCGTGCCTGCTCCGTTGGATTTAGTTAAACCCAAGACCCCGAGCACCAGCGCGGTGATGCTGATGATAGCCAGTAAACAAACCAATAAAACAGTTACTCTATTCTCTTTCATGATGAAAGTACGAGTACACCTAAACCTACGCAAAGACTTTACAGTTAAAACAGAGTTCGACGTGAACAGACCGACAAGTGTGGAGCTATAGTTTCGAAACTGTAGCCAAGCCTAATATTCTAGACAGGAATAGAATAGGGACTTTTAGATTCGCATGAAGACAATGGGGATTGCTACGATCGACGTCCTTGTTATGCACTGCCTTGAATGGACGTCACACGTATTAGTCCACGCAAATCTAAAAGTCCCTATTATCGCGGATTCAGCGATTATGATACAAATGAATACCTCATACTTCAGTGAATGCATGGGCGTAAATCCTTACGTAATACCTATTGTTCAGGGGGGATGAATGAATAGATCACCCCCCCCCCCCCCCCTCCCCCTGAACAATAGGTATTACGTACTCTTACTTAACTTTTTCATCTCTCTCTCTCATACGCCTATCTACCTACTCACCTACTCTTTTCTGTCCTCCTTATCTCCCCCCCCCCCCTCTCTCTCTCTCTCTCTCTCTCTCTCTCTTTCTCCTCTCTACCCTGCCTTTTTCTTTCCTTCTTTCATTTCGACTCCTCCAATGTCTGATTGAATTTATCTTTCACCTTCTTCAGTAAGATACCATTATTTAAGTTCACACAATACATGTTCAAAGTCTGGTTCTGAAATATAGTATGTTTAAATCTTGAGTGTGATATTTTGATAGTTTACGCATTACTCACAATTTCCGCATGCGCATTACCATTTCCTTAAAAGTATAACTTCATTTATTGTATTTTAACTGTTTTAATCTGTATGAATGACATTATAAACGTGGCACTATGAACTGTAATTTTCCATACACAGTCATTATACTTCCTCTAATTCTCTCTCTTCCT